TCATGACTTTTCCAACAACCCAATATTATTGGGAGGAAATTAACTTACAGAAATATTCCTCAAATTCTTATAAAATTCTAGTAAAAACTATCTTCTCTAAGATTCTTCTAATATATAACCTTATACTAAAAGTATCTTTACAGTATTTGCAAGAGCTTATTTTAAAAGTCAATTTTAAGGGCCGGCCGAGTGGATCAGTTGGTTAAGAGCTCGCTCAAGAGTTTGAGCTCTGAGCAACAGCGGTTCGATTCCCAGCCCGAGCTGAGCAGCCGCTGAGCTGCCAACAGGTAGCAGGATGGCTCAAAAAATGTCAATTTAAATATGAATGCCTAAATAATACTCCAAAACCAAATGGGAAATTCTCAGTATATATAATGTTGTTACCTAAAACCTAAAAACTATTCTAAACATATTCTAGTTCATGTTTCCTTAGGTACTTTGTCCTCTAAATAATATTAACTAGAATTTGTAAAGTAATATGGGCAAGTTCATTAACTTTTTTACACGTATTTTTTGACAATAATAAGGAAGAACAAGACTTCTGTTATAGAGAGAGGTAAAATTACATATTAAGGTGTAGGTAGAAAATGCCTCCTTCAAAAACATCTCAGCACTCACTCATTTTATCTAAATTGTCTTCTGATTTTAAATAATTTTTCTGGCATCTACATAAGAATTTACATTTATTTGTTATAGAAGTAGTTCATAAAAAGCAAATGGGAAGGAGAGCTGGGAAGTCACCCATTTTTAAAGCATGTATGTATGTGTGTGTGTGTGTCTACTATATGTAACAAAATATAATGTAATTTAATTAGTATAACCCCACCAACACAATTTTTGCTACTGTATTTAAAAGCATTTATTTAAAATATGTCAGCCTCCTCCAAAAGACGGAAGACAGATGAGCTCATCATGAGGTCTGTGGTAACAACAGCAATCCTCGATGCAAACGGACCATCAGTTGCCTAAATATAAAGCTGAACTTTGGCAAAGGTATGAGTGTTACACAGAACAGCACAGCCACCGAGGAAACCCCACGTTTACACCATCTCTACAACAGCACGGCCCTGCCCCAGTCACTCTCCCCGTCCAAAGGGTGAGTCAGGCCCGGACGACGCAGGATTTTACATATGTGGTCCGCTGAATAACACTTCTTTTTCTCAAGCCTCAGTACTACAGCTATACAAATTACACTTTTAAAATATTTGAAACAGATATTGAATTTATTGGTTGGCTATGAGTAGGAAAATACATCGGTAAAGAAAAGAGACCCTGTATATAAATATAATACTAGCTAGTTACAATTTGACCGAGAAGGTTCCACTGAAAAGAACAGTAAAAGCCCTTGTCACCTCCAGTCCATAGGTACATGTTCAGTTTCCCGTTACCCTTATCAAAGAGCTGCCTAGGCAAACGCGACATTCTCTGAGCTTAGTGCAGATCATGTGCTGGGTTTTGTTACATGAACGGTAAACAAGTTAGTCCAGTGCATTACACAACATAATGTACTGTGAAGAAAAACAAAATGCTCTATTTTAGATACAACTTCAACATATCAGTTATTAAAATTTATGTAACCAAAGAGAAGAACAAAGTGAACATCCTGAAATACTGTTTAGGAGTGGGGGAGAAACACTTGCTAAGGGTGTCTTTGAATTATCTGCAGCATTTGTACTGGGTATTCTGATTGGTTCCTCAAAAGAACAAACGGCTGGAATTGTACTGCCGAGGTTGGCTTTGTCCTAATACGACATGACCCTCAAACCTTAAAAGTCACTATGGAGACAAATGCCATGAGTTTAAATAGCAAAAAATGGAATACTAAAACTGGCATTTATTATTGAAAACCTGAATTTAGAAGAGCTGTGAAAATTCAATGTCAACATTTAGAAGTGCATTCCACTCAGTTTAACAATATCCTTAGCTTTCAAAGTGCTAACTCCAAATAAGTTTTCCTGGCTGTCACCAAAGCAGGTAAAAATAAAAACGCATTCCTTGGAGATGTTCCCTGCCTATCTTTGAGGACAATTAAAGTTGCAATCAATGTTTTATATCTACAACTTTAGTTTAAATTATGCCATAAATTAATTTTGATGAACATAATTTAAATTCTCAAGGCATAAATAATTACCACTAGTACAGTAAACTGTACTTCAAGAGATTTACAATAAAGAATCGAGTGCCTCCAAATTTCTGATCATTAAAACAGAAAACATACACCAAATTTTCTATAAAATATTCATAAGATGGATTTACCCAGCAAGAACACTGAAATTACATTATGGCACCACCACATTAAATGTATTTGTTACAGAACTTTTGAAAAAAAATCTATTCTGTGAAAACATACTAGTTTTTATTGCATGTAGGGAGTATGGATTATTGGAAATTATTCAGGACACAGGAATATTTAAAACCCAAAATCTTGCTTAACAAAAGTATCACAGTCTATTTGGTGTGACCGTTTATTTCCTATAGATCCAAATGATTTCTTTCCTTTGAAGGTTTTAGTTGTCAAGCTGCACTCTGGGTTCAATATATCTCTATCTCAGGAAGGTGGAGAAGCTGTTCAAACTGACCCACAAAAGGCAGTATTCCGAAAAGAGGCAAGAACAAATATTTTCAAGACATAACAGGCCATTATATCTTACTATCTTGCCCCCACGCTCGAAAATATTGCAGACAGTAACAAATACAAATGAAAACATTTTCTGTAAAGCTCAAACCTTTAGCATCTAACAAGTGCACTCTAGTTCCAGCATCTATGAGAATACATCGTCCATTAACAAACACAAACAAGTAAGTGCTGTCCTCCCCCCTCGATGAAGCTCCCTGGACCTGTTATTATCACATAATGCAGATCAGAGGAAAAGTAGTCCCCTTGTCTCATCAGTCCAACCAGCTCCAGCTCATTCTCGCTAGAAATTGTCATGATGCACATCACCAACAGTGTTTAGGAAAAATGAGTAAACACACCTTTTATTCACACGTTACAAAAAAAATAATAAAACAAAAACCCCATAAAAAGTTATGCATTCGTTCTACATCAATAATGCCAGCTTTCCAATGTACTGATTATAAACTGGACGTGTTTGGTGTCAGCACAACTTAAACAAAAAGCAAAAAATAAAAATCCATCACAACAAAATCTTTAAAAAAAAAACACACAAAAAAAAACCTCAAAGGAGAAACCAGGTCCCAGACAAAGAGTCAAGATCAAAATCTTTTGGAGAATTTTTTTTAAAAGGAAAAAAAAAATTCATTTATTTAAACAGTATGTAAATTTTATTCTCTCTTAAAAACAGAATAAGCACATGTAAGTGCTAAACATTTCTCATAAAATTTTAAGTCATCATCCAAAATGACTCAGTCTCTGTATAAAAATTGTTAATTACCACTCAACAGCTTTTTTCTTAATGCTCACATGGAGTCCTTTTGCTCCCCTGCCTGCAGTTGAAACAAAAGCAGTTGGACCAAATTCCCTCTGAATTCATTTGATTTTTGAGATAAGAATGAATGAATGAGACCTAGAATATATACGAATTAACTTTGCAAAGTTAACACTGGCTTCAATTTCTACTCTACTAATGGGACTATGGGCAAAATACACGGGGTACAATATAACTTTTATCTTGGTCGATACATTAAAATGACTTAGTCACTTTAAAAATGATCTGAAAAATGTCTTAGGGACCTGTTTTGAAAATACATCTCATTTATACTGCTTCATAAATGGAAAATTACTTTTTAAATTTTTTTTAAAGGAATGATTTTAAAAGAGACATGGAGACTAAGGAATATCTGGAAAACAGAGTTCACATGATAGTAGTTTTCTGGGTGACAGCACTGTGCAGTGACATGGAGAGGCAGTGCTTGGGTCTGGTGAGCAAGGACCCGGGGGCCACCCTCCCAACAATTCAATAGCCAATGCTTAACAATGGAAAAAAGCCACAGCTCATACAAAAGCATCTTCGCAGAGTCTCACCAATGTTAGACGGTATTTTAAAACTATAAAAGAGGATGCACAGATTTTCTCTGGATGCACAGGCAGTGCTTAGTGAGAACGACCTCAGGCAGGCACAGTGGAGATTGGGCAGGAGGTGCCTCAAAAAGGAGTTAAAAAGCTGTATCTAAGCAGCTGTCATTTTTTAACTTAAAAAAGTTAAAGATTTAAAAATATCAGAATGTACATACATCAACCATTACATTCAGTCCCTAAATGGTTACAGATTATTCACTGCTCAGCTCATCTGTCCGTGAAAACCCAGGAATTCATGGATAAGTTGCCTCTGGTCCGAAAACACGTCCTAAGCTTTAAAACAGATTTAAAAAGCAAAGTTCTCAATTTAAAAATAAAGTAGTACAAAAGGGCCAACAAAACCCGAACAGTGCAAACCATCAGCAGAGAAAGTCTGTTGCAACTTCTTTTACAAGCTTGGCCTTTCTAACAAACACATGGAACAGGTAAAAAAAAAAAACAAAAAAAAACTTAGCCTTAGTTTACAATACAATCATTTCCAAATCTGATTTTTTTAGTACAAAATTTCATAAATCAGGTCTTCTGTGGATCATATACAATCATAAAGGCTAAATTCAAATTCTATATCTTACAAACATGTCTGAAAAAGGAGGGAGTAAAGTATGGAAGAATGGTCTCTGGATGTTATTACTGGCCTCAAAAAAGTAGTGCTACAGATTTCTGTGCAAAGAGAATATGCTGTTCAAACATTTTCCTATTTCAAGGCATGAAAATATTATATTGGATAGAAGAAACAGGAAAATTACTTGTAACAAATTAAAGATAGGTGCAAACACACCGATCCCTGTCTAACAGTATATAAAGCATATTGGGCTCAGAATTTGTTGCTAGCACCTGGCTTTCATACATATCCTTATCAAATAATCAGACTGAAAAATCATCATTAAGGAAAAAAACCCCTAGTGGCCATACCTCACTCCCCTGTATTCAGATTTTTTAAATGAGCTTACAAGTGAAATTGAGGTCGCCCTCTGAAGTACTTGACTACCTCCTGCCAGGAAGGTGAATGCCGTTAACCTGGGGCAGGAAAGGCAGTAGGAGCTCCAGTTGTGCAAAAAGTGAGAAGTGGTCGGAGGGGATGAGAGGGTGTGGACAGCCGCTGATGTTGTTCTCCACTAGCCAATGGTGGTCCAGAGGGCCCAGGATGCCTAACGTGTTCAGCTGCGGCTTTGAGTAGAAGATGTAGTCAATTATACCCTGAAGAACAGAAGGGGGAAAAAAAAAAAAGGACAAGACTCCACATAAGATAACACTGAAATACTGACAGCTTTCAAGACATACCCTTTCAACCATGTTTAGTAAAGAAAGGTACTTATTATTATTGGTGTGTCAAAAGAGGCAGTACTGTGTAAACCAAATGGTCCCCCAAATGTCTAATCTTGCAGAATAAGAAAACTTCAGGGATGGTAGTAGCCATTCATTTTTCCTATCTGGATCTTTGGAGGATTTTTAATGCGACCTACAGGATCCTTCATGATACGGCCTCTGCTTCTCTTCCCTCCCTCAGTGTCTGCCACTTTCCCTTGCTCACCAGCTCCTCGGCATACTAGCCCTTTGGGGGTGGATGAACCGGGGTGCATACTTTTTTTTTTAAATTATTTTTTATTGTGAAATACACATTTTTTAGAATTAGTTTCAGCTGTACAACACAGTGCAATAGTTATACTTTTTACCCC